TTTTTTTTTTTTTTTTTTTTTTCTTGTTTTCTGGTACTAATGGTACGTGTTTACACACCACGCCGATAACTGCACATACACCCAGAGAGAGAGAGTTTCTATCCTTCTTTACCACCACAGAAATATGAAACGCAACACACTCTTCCATTTTTCAGTTGTTTCTATTAATATATATATATATATATGTTTCTTTTTTGGTTTGTAAACTCCTATTTACTGTAGACTGGTTTTTCCCCATACTATTTACTAACCTATTTCCCTACCCACCCTAAAAACCAATACTATTACTATCATTCCCACTACTTTAAATACAATACACCATTAGAGTCACTATTACACATCTCCCTCTTCACCTATCCTTCTCTGTCTGAATATACACCCCCCAAAAAAAATAATAATTCCCCATTCACACTCTCCTACAGTGTAACTTTAATGATTATTATTATATTTTTTTTTTTTTCTTTCTTTCTCTTCTTCTCTTTCTCTGTGTGTTACACTCTATACAGGCGAAGTCCTGTTTGTTCTTCTACTTTTCCCATAATACGATCCCAATCCCAAGCAATCATTGAATCTCTACTGCGTGAATTCCGCTCCGCTGCAAACAACGCCCCCTTCAAGTTATCATCAAAGTTCTCACACCACTGTTCAAAGTGTGGATCCACATCCCGATCAAACACCGCGAGAAAACTACAAATACTCCAAAGAAACATACATCCAAATATCGCACACGTGATGGCCCGCATGGGTGGAGAGACATCCATATTTCCAAATCGATCCGACATCTCCCCGGCCCCGGCGTACATTGGATGATGTCCAGACCACCGCTGCAGCTTCGCATCATCATACCACATCACATCTGGATGGGTCCAGTGATCATACACCTGCGATCCATCCGGGTGGAAAAGGGGATTCGCGAGTGTATACGTGGACCACGGGGATCCATTATTCCGCCGCAGATAGTGATAGTTCGCATTATCCCGTAAATACTTTTGTGTTTCCCGCACCATCATATCACACATGGCGGGGTCGGTGACATAACGATACATTTCAAATCGACGACGGACCACTTTGTAGGCGAGATTAAATTTATGGGCATTTAATTGGACAAGCCACATCTGTAGTTCTTTTAATGCCCAGCGGTAGAGACGGCAAACACGTTGTTTGTGGGTAAGTCGGGGATCATCAATGATGGGATCAAGGTGTCGTACACTACCGGCTATATCATATAAATACGCATCGGATTTGCATTGATACTTTGGATTATCTAAAATACGCCAACCCTCGTAATTCTGCAGGAGTGGCTCGTGGAGATGCCATTCGTGGTATTCCACCATTCCACCGCTGAGCAGAAGACAACTACGGCGCATCATGGCTAATAAATGTCTACAACGGAACCTATAATTCCTATATATAAATATCCTTTGTATGTAGAGAGAGAGAGAGAGAGAGAGAAATACATAGATAGATATATAGATATTTATAAGGTGAATAAATGAGCGAGTGAAGGTGTCATCAAGACAACACACATTTGTATAAAGAAATATCATTATATGGAAGAGTACTACAAGAGCCATATGAATACTCATATATACTACTTACACGAGGAAATACATGCCCTCTATTTCTTTCTTTGATTTCTCAAAATGTGTTGCCTGTATCACTCATACGTCCCTCACCCCATACTTATATATATATAATGAGGAGAGACAACAAACTACTAAAAATAGCAATATCAAAAACAATAGTAGAAATTGCTGTCACGTAAACAGCTTCTATTTGCCCAGTGTTAATTCTCACCGGGTGGAAAAAAAAAAATAAACATAAATGCACTAATCCCCACACACTCCCATCCAATCCCACTCTTTCTAGTAATTCCCTCAACCATTCACCTCCCAAGGAAAAAAAATAAAAAATAAAACTTCACAATCTTATCGAACTACTAACAAGTAAACACGCATAATTAGATATACATTACTAATAGAATTATATATATATATATATATATATA